AAAAACAAAACACAAAACCTTAAAACAATGCTGTAAACCCAGAAACCGAGAATGTCCTTTTGCATTTCTTGTACAACGTTAGCAGCCAGCACGGCACACCTTGTAGCTCGGGTTTATCTGAAAACGACCTAAGGTTACTGAGGGTTTAAGCCATGTATTAAAACGGTGTGAAATCTCCCCAGGCTACAACGAGAACACTGTTCACACAAATGTTAGGCGCTTTTCCAAAGCGGCGGAGCTAACAGCTAGGAGCTGGCTAAAGTTAGCTAAGCAGCTTACGTAAAAAAAAATCACTCGTTTGCAGAGACTGTTAGCATTTATTTCAACGCTGAAAATCCTACCAAAGGTTATTAAAAGCTTTGATCTATGTAACTTACCTCTGTACAGTAGCTAGCCAAGAATCAGCTAGTCACTGACGGTCGCCACTTAGCATTTGAGTTCCCTTTTTTGAGTGACGAGTGCTGGTTAGAAAGCCGACTGGTGGGTGGGCAGTTTAGTAGTTTTGTCCCTTTCGGCTTGCCGTAGAAGATTTGTTGTGGTTTTGTTGTATCAGGAAGCACATTTGAAGTTAGCTCGCTGGACTAATTTTGATTTAAGGTCTTACTTCGCTATTATAAGTCGTTATTAAGGACGGCTCTCTTTATCGATCATTGATTGCTTTTGCATCGCGAAGCTGGGGCGGGTTTCCTGCCTGCTTATGGCGTGTTTTTGTTTGTGATAAGATGCATTAGTCAGCTAAACTACAATAGCTTAGGGACAAGGTGCAGCATGAAACCCATGATAATGAGGTAAGCTGCAACGAGATGTTGTCACGAGTGTTTAAATTGTCTTAGCTCAAAGATTTCTAAGTGGTGTTTAACTACAGAGACTACAGAGATTTTAAACCTACGCAGTTTCCCTGTTCAGTTACCATCTATTCACACCAACAAAACCTAATGCAGTCTGAAATGCAGTGTTTAGTTTTTTTCGGAAAGTTATTTATTTAGTTAGTTAATGTAAGGAGAATTAATGAAAACAATATCACGTTTCACGTACACAAATATCGTTACCAATGGTGATGGACAAATTGACAGGTGAGGTCAGACAGGAGTCTCGCTGGTATATGATGTTTGCAGACAACGTTGGGATTTGTACTTAGAGGAAAGAGCAAGTGGGAGAGAACCTGAAAAGGTGCAGGTATTGTCCGGAGAAAAGAGGAATGAAAGTTAGTAAACTGAGAGGGCGAGGAAATAATTCAACCATCCAAAACAAGGCAGGTAGGGTGGGAGTGTTACGAATGTCAGGGGCGATTAGTGGCAGAAGGATACCAGCAAGAGTGAAAGGGAAGTTTTACTAGATGGTTTGCAAGTTAGACCTCCTTTCATTTATGGTTTGGAGACGGTGGCACTGACAAAAAAACAAACAAAAAAACAGGAGGCACAGCTGGAGGTGCCAGAGGTGAGAAGGTTAAGATTTTATTTAGGTTTAGGTTTATTTTGTTTAGGTTTAGAGCTAGAGAGTTAGAGAGGCAAGGCTGAAATGCTTTGGATATGTGGAAAGCAGGAGTAGTGGATGGATACAGAGCTGCCAGGCAGTAGGAAAAGAGGAAGACCATAGAGGAGCTTTGTTGATGTATTGTGAAAGAGGACATGCGGAGAGTTGGTGTGCCAGAGGACAATTCTGAGGATAGGGTCCGATGGGGGCAGAAGCAGCTGAAAGAAGAAGAAGAAGGAGAAATATTGTGACCAAAATATTCTACATGAAGTATTTTATTATAATAGAATAATAACACACAATTTGATAAGAAAGGAAAATGTAGTGTAAAAAATATAGAATACTAAATTTGAGTGTAAGACTAACAGCTCAGTTTATTTTATGTGTTATTAGCATGATACCAGCTGTATTTATTTATACTACTGACAGTTTATATAACAGCTATCATCAGCACTATATCCCCAACTTAAATGTGCTATTCCAATCAATATGATAACAGTAATCTGATCTTGCTTTGTGCTCCGCGTAGGCAGTGTGTGCTTCATGGACCGAGTGGATAATGTCTGTGATCCTGTTTGCCTTTGTGGTTCGGGTCAGGGATGGACTCCCCCTGTCAGCCTCCACAGACTTTGAACACAACCGAGAGCTCCAGCAGAGGAAGCAGCAGATTAAGACCATCAGCAAGGCGCTGGCCCGCTTCCCCGACAGAGGGACCATTAAGGGCCAGGAGCTCAATATATAGTAAGCACGCAACAAACGAAAAGCAGCAGCAGCAGCACACAGATTCATAAGAACCTGTCTAACTGCAAAAATGCACAACACACAGCCTTAAAGCAAATCGGCACGTATTTGGTTTTGTGGTACGGTCGACATACGCAGTGTTGTCCATGTGAACAGAGGGGCATCCACGTCACGCTGCTTCAGGCTGTTTGTTTACTAAACACCTTTTCTCCTCTCACCTGTTCAGCTTCGTCTCTTCAGAGGGTGTATCCTACATGACTGTGTGTCACTGCAGCCTCCCTGTTGCTAAAGCCTTCTGCTTCCTGGAAGATCTGCGCTGGGAGTTCACAGCATGCTTCAAAAGCACTGTTGTTGCCTTGGCAGCCAGGCCATATCCATTTTTGGAATTTGGTGAGGGGAGCGAAATTGCCTCATATAGATTTGATAGTGTCTTTTGGGATTGCAAAAGTTTTTTCTTTCTTTTGCTTTAAATTTAAGATGTGTTAACACACAATTAAATAAATTAAATCTTTGAATTTACCTCTGAATCTTGCTGCTAACTGACAGACAGCATTATTCAGAAGCTGAAGCAGCAGTACAACCACAGTGGTGGCCCGGCCCTAGAGGTGACTTTGGCAGAAGTCCAGGAGGAGCTGAGGATCCATCCACCTCAAGTAATAAACCTGGATGAGGTGGAGCTAACCAATGGCACTGCAAATGGGCACATGGAGCAGGGTCCTGGATCTGGTAAGGCTAAAAGCACTTGAAACAGAGCACTCTGCTTCCTGCCTTTGACAGCCAGTAGGAATTCTTTGTAATGTAGGAATGAGGATATTTTCTTGCTTCCCATTGTGTTTTCTTGTTTTGAAGTGTTTATATTGTTGCTTTCTTGTGTTTAACAGGTCAAAATCAAAGACTGGAACCAGTGACGGCCCCGGGCATTCTCTCTCTCATCCTCAATATCATGTGTGCGTCTTTGAATGTTATCCGTGGGGTTCACCTCATGGAGTACACGTTCCAGGTACAATTAGTGCTGGCATCTGATTACTGTCATTTTAAATATTATTAATGGTGCTGTTTATTTGGGGAGTCTAAATGATGTGAAAAACAATCATAAGTTGTAACTTTCTCTCTTGCATAGCAAACCAGTTTGTTTGTTTGTTTGTTTAAGTCGGGATATTTGGAAATAGGCTTGCGTAAGCTAATTTTAATTACAGATAAGGTAAGCTGGCTGAACTGACCGCTGTGCATTAGCATTTTACGGTGAAAGCTGAGTTGTTATCATGAGGTGTGCACAAATTGGGTGAATTAATCAGAAATAAACGCAGCAAGCCGACTGAGACCGGAAAACAAATCAACTTTTTTAAAAGTTTATGTATTATTTTTGTTTTCGCAGGATGATTATGAAAGCATTTGGAATGTTGTGGCATTTCTCCTGGCATTTGCTTGCTGTGTTTTTCAGGTAAATAGTAGTTCACATAGTAGCTTGACTCTTGATTGCAAACAGAAATATGCTGCCGTCCATCTTTCTCTGACGCTTCTCCGTGTGAATCGCTCCGTAGTGCCACCTCTACCTTTTCCACTCATCTGTGAAGAAACTGAAGTGCTTCACTCTGTTAAGTGTGATCGTCCTATGCAACTTGCACCTGCTCGGCTTGAGAAACGCGTGGCAGCTCCTCTTCCACGTTTCCGTTGCCTCCTTGTCTACCGTGCTCATCCTGACTCGCAAAGTCCAAGACAGAACCAGCGACTGTGGCGTCTGAGGAGCGCAGGACAGCGAAATTTGTTGCACCGCTGCAGTTTTCAGTGCAGGCGAGAAAGAGCGAGGACGTAATCGGCTCGATCCACGATAACGAAGATGTCTTGTGGATTTTTAACAAAAGATTGAAAAAGTACAATAACAGGCTCGTATTTTCTCATGTGCAGTATGTACTCCAACTTTCCAAATTTGTGTACAACAAGAATATCGGAAAATGCAGTGATTTTTGGATTCTTAAAATGCTCCGATTAACCTCAAACCAGGAAAAAATGCATATGAAGAACAACACTGATGAAACCCAGTCAAGCCCAACTTTTGGGAAAAGTTTTGAAAGAAGATGGAAGAGCTTTTTTTCAGTCAAAGTTTTTCCCGTTATGTTGGTGGGTTTATAATTGAATGCATTTGTTCTCACACCCAGCTCAGTATTTCTGTTGTCACAGAGCACTGATTAGCTTTTCATAATCATTTTACACTCAGTGACATCAAGTTAAAATTGATTTCAGTTGTACTTTTCCCAGAAAATACGATAGTCCGTCCTGCGCTGGTAGGCATATGATAACTAAATTATTTAATGTAGCTTAACTGAATTACTCTATAGCCTAAAAAGGAAAAAAAAAAAATCAAATGTGTAAATATAAAGCTATGGTTGCTCTACTTCTTTCTGTGTGGCAGTGCAAATATGGTTGATGGGTTTGGTTTATTTTGTTATATATTTTATAGCCAGTGCTCAGCTTCTCGTTGCAAAGGTTCACATTTAAGGGCTCCGTTATTTAGCAACTTCACAGTCTGTTCTGAAAGGGAATGTGTTAATCATATGTTCAGCTGTGGTTTGATTTTGAGGTTTGTTTGTTTGTTTTTAACAACGACTCATTTTAGACCCCTCGTTAGAAGAAAGTTGTTTCACCTCATCTCCAAAATAAGCTTGCTGTTTATCTCTAAATTGTGATGATATCAATATGCTTGTTTTATTAAGCTATTGCTAAGGTTGGCCTTAGCTGTTCTTCCTGAGGCCTGTACTATGAAGAAAGTTCAACATACCAGGGTGTCTTTATGCTACCTGTTCACTTTTGCTAACGCTGGCATTCAGCAGTCACGTGAAGCTAATTATTGACTCCCTGAAGTTAACCCAGGGTCTCCTTTGGACCTTCAATTGAAAGGGGTGGTGTTGGCAGTATCTGACCAATCACAAACGTGGACAACTGCTGGCAGTATAGCAGCTGATTTTACAAAGGAAGATAAAATAATACAATGGGGGAAACATGAAAAGGTTAAACACATAAAAGAGACTGAAAGCAACACACCCACTGCAGACAAAGGAGCAAGATTAAGCAAGATGAGTGTTTGCCAAATCCAGCTTCATAGTACGGGCCTTGGGAGTCTGGTATGCATTCACAAAGATTCAAAAAGAAGAAGCAAGCCCTTCTTATAAAGGTATTATTAAAATTCATAGACAAGAACATGAAAGGTTTTTTTTAACTACCTATAACAGGATATTAAACAGCATATTTTGTATTGAATGTACGCGTTTCCAACAA